CATCAAGAAGAGACTGCACGAGTTGGGCACGTCCTGGGTAGAAGAGCTATCCTATGTGTTATGGGCCCATAGGACTACTCCAAGGAGAGCCACAGGAGAGACTCCCTTTGCCTTGGCTTATGGCTTTGAGGCAAAGGTACCTACCGAGGTCTTGGTCCCTAGCACGAGGGTGGAAGCATACACTCCAAGCCTCAATGAGCAATTGATGGAAGTGGACTCCCATTTCACTCAAGAAAGGAGGGACGACGCGACAATGAAGGCGGAAGAGTACCAACGGCAATCCAAGAGGTACCACGACAAAAAAGCTGTAGTTCGGACGTTTGAAGTCGGAGATTGGGTCCTACGTAAGAGGGAGAAAAGTCAGCCCACTAAAGGAGGAAAATTAGCCCAGAATTGGGAAGGACCGTATCGTGTGGAGAAGGTGGTGCGTACAGGCACCTATCAGTTGGCTACATCGGAAGGGAAGGCATTGGACAATTATTGGAATGTGGAGCATCTCGAAAAATTCTACCAGTAAAAGCTACATGTTCAAGGTTCCGTCCTCCCATAATTTTTCAAGCCTCGCTTTTAAAGTTTTCTTTTTTTTCCTTTTGTTCAAAGAGAATGGATTGTACTGTGCTTAATATGAAGAAGAAATTTTCCATTCATCATCAATTGTTCCGGTCCATGAGATGTAAAAAAAAAATGAGGACCGTTCCTAAAAAACTAGGACCGATCCTTACAAAGAAGTAAGGACCGTTCCCATGGGTCCTAGGACCGATACTTACAAAGAAGTGACAAAGCCAATACAAGAACACATGAGGACTTGAGAATTCAGGGCGAGGGAGAGGAACGGAGGAAAGAAGGCTCTGGTCCCATGGGTCCTGGGACGCCTGGAAACTTCAGCCAAGGATCTAGTCTATCAGAGTAAGGCTCCAGTCCACGATAAAATTTTTATTGGACCTCCAAACCTCCACGATAGAAACCCCTTCCATAGTCTGAAATTCGATCGGCCTCCATCCAAGCCATATGTCCCTCATATGTGAGACGCTCGTTCTCGAGCGAGCGGCAGGCCTCATCAAGGGAACTCCGAGCTGAACGCCTCTCCTCCATAAGGGTCAGGTTTAGCTCGTTGACCCGTTGAGAAAGTTGACGTTCCATTTCTTCATGTTGGAGGCGCCACCTCTGCTCGACCTCTTCCGCCGCCTTCCTCGCTTCCTCCTCAGATCGACGACGCCACGTTCGCTCTAGCTCCTCCTCCGATCTCCTTCGGTGAAGTTCTGCCTCCTCTCGAACTTGCAATTCACGCTCTCTGACCTGCCGCTCCAAGTCCCTCCTCAGGAATTCTATCTCCTTGAGGTCGTGAATCCGGTTTAGATCACGCTGCCCGACCTTGGCCGCAAGCCGCTCACGGTCCGAGTGGAGCTGATCGTTCTCGGACAAAACCCGATCATATTTCGGACGCTCAACGCAGATAGAGTGCCGAGAGTTGAGATCCCTCAGCTCCTTTGATAAAGCAGCATTGCAGTCCAATAGGCGAAGGGAATGGCGCTGAGCAGAGGAAGTGACAACATAATCGGCCTGTCAAAAGAGGAAGGCAGCAAAAGTTAGCAGTCCTAAAGAGCATAAAGAAGTAAGTGAAATACTTAGAATGAAGGGGGGAAAGGACACTGACCATACGAGTGTACTCCTCCTGCATAAATGGCCAGGCCGGGCTGTGGACCACGTCAGGATGGTCCCTCTTGAGCTGTTGTATTTCTTGAAGCTTGTTGTTGAAGTCCCGTCCTACCCAGGACGTGTATCCTGTGAACTGATAGGCCTCCCGGGCATAGGGAAAGGGTTGACTCCCTTGCCCAATGAGAAACTCATCATCGGCGGTCCCCATGGGAGGACCGGCGGACACCAGAGAACCGGGGAGAGGGGTGGAGTTCCGGCCCCTCTTGTGGCGGACCTGAGAAGAAGAGGA